CAGTAGGTAATAACAATGATTTTTCTAATTTTGTTTTATAGAATAATTTTGGACTACACAGATACAGAATAGGTACATCACTAATAATACCTATAAGTAATAGTTATTTTGTATATATTATTATATTACAGCAAACCTTCATTTATAATCGTTTTATAAAACACCATACATTCTTTTAGATGCAATATATCCTTTAAAGTAACTTATACCTATATGCATATTTACCCACCCATATTTATCTATACACTCGAAACCTACAATACAACAATAATGAGCAAAACCAAGTTCTATTATTTTGTTTTCATATTTTMTTCTTATATTACCTCACCAAATGGCAAATACCACTGATTATTTAGGTCGGCTACTCTCGTCCTGCACCTCTATAAGGCACGATCTCTAATATTAACTCCCATTCATCAACACCCGATATAGTCATGTCCCTCTTTAGTCCTTATTTCATCCCTCTTTTCATTGTCCATACACTCTATCTCTCATATATTTCCTTTTACATTACATCTAAATCAATTATCTACCTTCTGTATCATCTCATATAATTTTCTTCACAGTAACTTATGAAAATTCTACATTAGGTATACTCATCGAATCTGAAAGTATGAATTCCATGACCTAACATCATAAGTTCATAACACATTCCTGCTGTTAGCCTTATCATCTCCGATACACTCATTTTTATTGATTTAGTATATATTATATTTATTAATGTTATATACAGTATATTTATGCATGCTTTTAATAAAAATTGTATGCAAACAAAAATTGAAAATTTGGCGTAAAATTTCTAAGAGAGAACTTAAAAAAAGAACGCGAAATGTTTTTCTAAAATAAAAGYTAGTGTTATAAAATATATTATGATAGCATGATCAACTGTAATTACTATAAATGCTGCTCCCCGTTAAATATTATGTCAACGCGAACATTATGTCAACTGGATATTGATTGAAAATAGTACTTATCTTAGCGAGATTCGTTTTAAAAAGAGGACAAGTATTACTGGTCTGTTGTACAGAAAGTATCGAGTGGGCTACTGTATCGATGTGTTAAAATTGAACTCAGCGATATATTATCATTCTATACGAAAAACAGTTCTGGAATGAGATGATCTGTCATAGTATATCAAGTTTATTTTACGATAACTTTTTAGAAATTTAAGTGATTTATTTTACTAGTAGTATTTTTGGTTATTTGAATTTTTGTCGGAAACATTGAATTTATTATATAATAAATATTTAATTATATTATAATAATGTACCTATATTTATATCATTTTAAATTATTGTTATTACTTTTCATTCAATACCACCATACCGTAGTCGTTCTAAATATATAAAATATATAAATCATAAACAGGAACCAAACAGCTTAAAATTAATCTGAATATTTTGCGAATTTCATAATGGYATAGTTAAATATATAATATACCCACTCAACAATTTTAAATTCACACGAATAATGTTTTTGAATCAAAACAAAATAACTAACATCATAATTATTCTTCATTTAAATATGTAATTTCCTATTTTCCTGTAAGTTTGAATTTTAAATATCTATATAGGTACCTACATTCAATAAAACTTTTAATTTAAATATGAGCTTAAAAGGAAACTTGAATTTAAATTAAAAACCTTATGTATACAATTTCCGCAAGTTATACATTTTAACTACCTACAAAATATATTTGAAGTTTACGTAATTTTCAAATATTTAAAAATTTTACTTTACATGCTTGTAAAAAAAGAGCTTGTATAATATTATGCATATTAGGTATATTTAATATTTTTTAATAACTTCAAATAAAATCTGATTAATAACCATGTGTATTTAGTTTTTAAGGATTTCAACACATTTGGTTATTTTTATTTAAATAAGTAGAAACTATACTATAACTATAAGTACCTATACCTAAATAAAATATCTAATTCATCATTAATTTCTTTTTGTACTGATATTTCGCATTAAAAAGGTTTGTTTTTGTTACCTAACTAAAAGACGAATTATACCATTATTGAAATTCATCACATTTTTATAAAACAAGAGTTCACTTACATAACATTTTTTTGTTTTTGGGAAATAAAAAAAGTTAAAGGATCAAAATATGTAAACTTTTTCCCCATTTATAATACGAGGTTTTGCCAAACGCATAAGAATTCTTTCAATTTTACATTTTATTCCAATATAATTTGTTAAAACTACAATGTATTTATATTGGTTATTTTTTATGATAGTAGGAAGGTGATTGTCAATTCCACCGGTACTCATAATTACCTGTGAAATTAACGATAGCTTCATCCATATTATTTTTGACCA